TCGCCACCCCCTTTCCTCCGTTTTGCCCCCTTTCGCCCATTTTAACCCCTGTAAAAAGCCACCCGCAGAAAGTGTGGGCAAGGCTAAGGGCAGTGGCTTCAGCAGAGCTACTGAGCATGCTCAGTGCATCTGGCTTGAGTCCTGCAGCCGCTTCACCCCCCTGCCCAGCCAATTTACATCCACCTCCTCCGTGTAGCCCCTTTTCCTTTTAACTCCATGTAATATGTAGTCATATACATAGTAAGGGCAGCACAAAGGGCAGGAGCTTCAACAGAGCTACTGAGCATGCTCAGTAACCCTACGTTTTTCCTAGGTGGGACAGCCCTATAGGGAGCGGCTCTGTACAGCCGCTTCACCCCCCTGCCCAGCCAATTTACATCCACCTCCTCCGTGTAGCCCCTTTTCCTTTTAACTCCATGTAATATGTAGTCATATACATAGTAAGGGCAGCACAAAGGGCAGGAGCTTCAACAGAGCTACTGAGCATGCTCAGTAACCCTACGTTTTTCCTAGGTGGGACAGCCCTATAGGGAGCGGCTCTGTACAAACCAATAGCTCATCCCTTTGCCCGGGGCTTGCCTCTCACCTGTGTTCGCGCCATGTGCACCGGTGAGATAGGAAACAGGAAGCATTGCCATTTTACAGATAATGAAGGTGAGGCAGATCTCTAAGGCTATGTCTACACTCACGGCTTCTTGCGCAAGAACATCTTGCTCAAGGGTTCTTGTGCAAGAAGACTTCCACACTGCCATGTGTGAGCTGTGCTTTTGCGCAAGAGCGCCCCACGGCAGTGTGGACGCCCTCTTGCGCAAGAAATCCCTGCGTCCACACTGCCCCCTTGCGCCAGAGCTCCAGCGCAAGAGGGCTTACACCTGTTAGAAAACAGCGTAGCGCTTGCGCAAGGAGCCGTCTCTTACCGCGCCGTACCGTAAATTTCCTTGCGCAAGAGCGGGCGGGCAGTGTAGACGCTCTGCGGATTCTTGCGCAATAACCCGCCTGTGTAGACATAGCCCAGGGGCCCCACGGAGGCAGCAGCAGCGTGTGACTGCGCAGCCCCACCCCGATCTGCGGAGCAGCCACGGGGCAGAACCTGTAGGAGGGAGGAGGGGGGGTTAACCCCTTACCTCCTGGGAGCTGTACACCTAGGCTGGACAGGGGCAGCCCCAGGCATGTGGAACCCAGCACAGGCTGTGATGCCCATGACAGCCCCTGGGGAGTGGGCAGGCAGGTGCAGGAGTTAGCAACTTTTTGGGCCGGGCGCTGCTGTGGGGTAGTGTGACTGGGCTGCCCCACCCCGATCTGCGGAGCAGCCACGGGGCAGAACCTGTAGGAGGGAGGAGGGGGGGTTAACCCCTTACCTCCTGGGAGCTGTACACCTAGGCTGGACAGGGGCAGCCCCAGGCATGTGGAACCCAGCACAGGCTGTGATGCCCATGACAGCCCCTGGGGAGTGGGCAGGCAGGTGCAGGAGTTAGCAACTTTTTGGGCCGGGCGCTGCTGTGGGGTAGGGTGGGCAGGGCTGGAAGCTCCGTCTCTCCTACTCGCACCCCAGGGTAGGGTGGTCTGGTCATACGGTGCTGCTACCCCCATTGGGAGGGCTGGAGGAGCGGGGAGGGGTGCACTGAAAATCCGGCCAGTGGGGGAGAGGGGGCGTCAGTCCACATGTGACGTAGTTCGGTGACTCCAGTCCTGGGCCAGCTCCAGGGCTTAGCTCAGATTGAGAGCTGCGTGGCCAAGTAGCAGCCCTGCAGGGTTGGACTCCCCGGGGCTCTCCCAGAGCCTGACCAGGTCCTTTTGCACTGCAGCTTGCCGGTGAGGGGCGAGCCCCGAGCAAAGGGCTGGGCCGGGCAGCGGCAACATCTGCTATGGGCCGGGGCTGGAGCAGGGGCTACTTGACCTGTGTGCTACTGCCCCAGCTCTTCCTGTAGCTGCAGCCCACTCGGGACCTGGGGCAAATCGCAGGTGGAGGTGTCTGTGCAGGGGCCAAACCGACCGCACGGGTGGTGGGGTCACACAGCTGGTGGCAGGCCCAGGAGTGGGGCCAAAGGCAAATCAGGGCAGGCAGGGGCTCGGGCCCTGCCAGCCAGTGGCAGAGGGGAAACCCACAGTATTGATGGAGGGGGGGAGAGCCTTGTCCTGTCCTCAGAAACCAAGAGGAACAAATTTTCGCCTTCCTCCTTGTGACACCCTTTTAGATATTTGAAAACCGCTATCATGTCCCCACATGGCCAATGGGGGCGGATGTGGGTGTTTCCTCATTTCCAAGCTGGGGTATCTCAGAGCCGCTTCCCAGGGCAGTGATTCACATGGCCCGATATCCCCCAGGGACTGGCCAAGGCAGCTCTTCCCTGCCGGATAAGGTAGATTCCCCTGCTAAAAGGGCTGTTCGTGGAGAGGAGCTGCTGGATCCCTAAGGGCTCTTCAGTCCAGTGCAGTGGTTCTCAAAGTGCTGCCGTCATGGCTTGAGCTCAGCCCTCTCTGCTCCCCCACCGCCTCATGCTCCGTGCGTAGCGGCAAGGCTGCAGCACCAGCTCCGGCTTCCAGCTCGGAGGGCGTGCGGGGAGGGGGTGCAGAAAGCAAATTCAGCCCCCCTCGCTCCCCCATGGGCTGCGAAGCTATAGGTGGAGGAGCGCCGCTCCAGTCATGGGAAACTCCCACCTAGGTCCCACCAAACTCAGTCGCCATGGTAACAGCAGTGCATCCCTCAGGTACTCCTGCAGGGCAGGCAGCAGGTTGGGCTGCTCGGGGCCCAGCCGGGTGGGTTGGGCGGTCGTGGTGCGCGAGTGTCTGGTGCCCTCCCCTTTCCCCAGCAGCAGGTTGGGCCGTGCCAGGGGGCAGCACTGGGGTTGCGGAGCCCACACACAGGACACAGGTGGGGGCGTGAGGCCCTTCCGGGTAGCCAAACCACCTCAGCGCCCACCTCCCCAGACTCTGCCCACCTATGAGACTCTGCCCCCCTCTGGGCTGGATGCCTCTCTTCTCCACACTGTGTCCAGTTTCCCTCCCCCAGGGACACCCCATCTCCCTGAACCCGATCAGCTACTCCCGAATCCCAGTAAATCTGGTCTGTGGGAAGCCCTGAACCTTAGTCCTACCTGTCCCTTTCCCTCGCCCTGTGGGGCAGGAGCGACAGAGGAGTGAGGTGTCCTGGTTGGGAGGTTTTGGAGGTGTTGTTTTGCTTCTCCCTTGAGTCATTCCCAACTAATTTTTCTGGGGGCCAGTGGCCCCTGACACACAGAAGATTCCCCAACCCTGCCATAAATAAAACATGGAAATCTTTTGTGTTGGACATCAATTAATATTTTACTTTATTTGAAATGTTTGATAAACTTAACATGAGAAAGTTAAAGCACTTAGTCTGTTTAATAATTTAAATTGCGGCAGCACTAGCAAGATGGCGCTGGTGTAATTAAGTAATTAATGGTGAGTTTCTATTCGCAACGGGTGGTCGGCGGACAGGTTTCCATTGAGCCAGGTGGTCAATGGGCCAAAAAGTTTGAGAACCACTGGTCTAAGTGGTATGGCTCAGTGAGAACTAATGACTGAAAGCAGAAGCCAGACAATTTCAGGCTAGAGAGGAGGCACAAATGTTTGATAGGGAAGATGATTAACCCCTGCAACAAATGGCCAAAGGACGTGATGGATTCTCCATCTCTTGAGAAGTTTAGACACCTCCATCCATGTTCAGGCAGCAGAATAAATGGCTGCTTTAGATGAAACACTGGGCGTTCAGAACTGAATCCCCTTGTTTCAGGTGCAGGAATGTTGAAACTCAAGCCAGGTATTCAGGAAAATGAATGTGGTTTTGGGGTCTAACTTGTGTGTGCTTTTTATGGAATATCTAGACTCAAGCATTTGCCCAAAATGTCCAGGTCTAGCACAGGGGTCGGCAACCTACACTATGGCTGTCTTGGCTGCCCCATGTGCCAGAGCTGGAGCAGGGCTGGGGTGCGGATGGCCCTACTGGGACAGCTGCACCGTTGCCCCAGTTCCAGCTCCGGCATGGTGGCTGCCCAGTTGCTCCCAGGGTGGGCTGTGTGGCAGGCGGCTCGCACCATGTGCTGGAACTGGGGCCGGGTAGGATCCCATCTGGCCACAGCATTCCGATCCTGGGGCAGAACCTGCAGTCTGGCCCCCATCTAGCCACAGAAAGGACTGGCAGCAACCCTTCCCCCCCCCCCACTGTGGCACGGCTAGGAGGGGACATAACCCTGACTCCCGCACCCCCACATCAGCAGCCCCCTGCCATAAGATTAACAGAAGACAGCCCGAATGTCTGCATGAAGCTGGATTTGTCCAGTTATGATGTAAACTTCAAAGAAACGTGCGAAAAGATGCAGCAGCAGAAGTCCCGTTAAATAAAGTCCGTGAGAACAATGTTTCATTGACGCTACTATCAATCATCATGTCAGTTATCAATCCTATTACGTTGTATATTTTCAGTTCATGCCAAAGGGCATTCTTATACGGCTCTGTGTTGACCACTTGCTCTGAATTTCGATGTAGTTTGGCTCCTTAGTTTGAAAAGGTTGCCGGCCCCTGTTCTAGCAGGTGTGTCACCAGGAACAGAGTCTGGAGAGAATGGGTGGTGGAAAGGATTAAAGCCCTTTCTGAAATGTCTCCCATTGCTCTTCTCCCCCCGACAGGTTGCAGAACGCCCATGTCTTGCTCCAGCTCAACCCATGGCCAGCACAGCCAGGGACAGGAAATGGCTGTGGCGGAGCTGGTGAGCTTCGAGGAGGTGGCTGTGTATTTCTCAGAGGAGGAATGGGCTCTGGTGGACCCGGATCAGAGAGCCCTCTACTGGGATGTGATGCAGGAGAATTATGAGGCTGTGAGCTGCCTTGGTAAGGATCCTTGTCCCCTCGGGTATCAGGAGCTGGGTGGGCTCTGGAGCAGCTGGGTTTGGTTCAGTTCAGGGTCTAACGAAACTACCTAAACTTTACCCTACTTACAGAAAATGAAGAATGGTGTCTTGGAGAGAGAGAGACATGCTTGTCCCTCTCTCTAGCTGCAGAGAACACACCCAGAGAGACAAAAGGGGAAAGGAAAAAACCCAAATTCCTTTGTCCCAGTTTGAAAGCCCCACCTACATTCCTACCGGTCACTCCACCTGGCTAGGTGTAGTTAACCCCTTAAATCCCAGGCTGCTGGCTAACCCTCATAATCATGACAGACACCATAAAAGGGGCCCAACTTAAATTGAATGCCCCAAAATAATAAAACATAGTGGCTGTGTCTAGACTGGCCAGTTTTTCCGGAAAATCAGCCGCTTTTCCGGAAAAACTTGCCAGCTGTCTACACTGGCCGCTTGAATTTCCACAAAAGCACTGACTTCCTACTGTAAGAAATCAGTGCTTTTTGCGGAAATACTATGCTGCTCCCATTCGGGCAAAAGTCCCTTTTGC